GTAAGAAAAACAAATAATATCTAATTGGTGCTGGAGAACATTTCTGTGCTAACAGCTTGGTAGTGTAAAATGGATATTGGTAGAAATCAACAGCTAGAAGCTAGCTTCTGCTCCTCTGTCTAGCTCTACCACACAGACCTTTAGTACATCCATTAGATCACTGCATTAGATCACTGCATTATAAAACCTTGGAGATGTGATATACCTGGCTAGTCCAAAGGTCATGGTGGTAATAAATAGATCATCAGATAATACTCATTTTAAAATTTATATTTCGGAATATGAGTAGAGTATCTTTTCTTTCTCATGAGGAAATTGTAGCTTCTTAAGGGGTAGTTAATATTCACATTTATCCCACACACTTCTTTGTAATCACTTTATTGATCATATTTTACTTTCATGTGCTTCCTTCTTAGTCACACTATTTAAGCTTTGTTGTTTATCTCTGATAGATCACACAAGATGCTTACATTTCTCATAATTTCTCCCTATTCCCTGAGTAAGAGAAAACTCAGCTACTTCCATTAAGTACATAAAATATTTATTTCAACAACTATGTGTAGAAAGAACTTCAGAGGACTCTGTGAAGAAGTAAGCCCATAAATCAGTCACTTGAAAGTAGGCCAAAATAAGATGACGCATGATTGCCCTGACTGCAGTTGAGAATGTTAGAAAATGTTAATTTATGACCTTTTCATCATAATACTAGAATGTCTCATGATCTTTGAATAAACATCTATGGTGGGTGTATGATATTTGCTATATAGCAGTATTCCTATCCATTCCTTTCCATATTTTACTCATGGGCAGTGAACACACACAGATGCGTGCAGAAAAAAGTGACTTGTTCAAGATCACTAAGGGTAAATATGGGAAAGTCAGGAAAACTCCTAGCACTAAATCTCATTACAAACGATTGATGATGAGTGGTGCCTAAAAAAGTGGATTGCCTCTAGAAATATTTTACAAAATCTAGTCTTCCTGTTTTCCTTTTTAAGATGTTAAATAGCATGGATGTTTTATGTGGATCAGTTTTACAAACTGCTCCGAAACACAGTAATAGAAAGAATTAAAAATAATTTTCACAAATGGCAAGTTCCATTAAACTTTGTTTAATACCGTAAATGTGTATATTATTTAATATTGATACAAATGGAGAAATATAGGAAAGAATTATTTATGTGGTCTGGTGGTCATCTGGTGGTTGATAGGGATGCTATGGTTAACACTGTTTTATATACTTCCTCCTTCCTAAATAAAGCACTACTTTTCTGAGAGTTGTCTCAATCTCTCTCTACGGTATTTTTGTAAAAACTTCGCAAGATACATGCTAAAACAATGCGTTCTTATTCCACTGTTCACTTGATAAACAGTAGAGAATAACTATGAAGAGCATATGACCGGTCCTGGGCTTTGCCTTCAGTAGTGTGGGAGCTATCAGAGTTTAATTAAAACTGGTGACTTTTTCCTACTGAAACCTCTACCCTTTTATTCCCCAGGTCCTACAGTTTCCATGACTTCCATGCCTAAATATTACCATAACTGAAGCATTATCTCAGAGTAACCTATCTATTTTCCTCACTTTAAGGGGAAAAAATCCTCTAAATTAAATACTAAATTAAAAATGTGCCAGTAAGCAAGTGGCATTTTTTTTTTCCTCAGGAACTATGAAGACTTTTGGATGCCTTTAACAATTACAGATCTTTTGTCACATGACTTCAGGAAGAAGGCAAGAATTTTTTTTCAATTGAAATCAAAAAAGTATATTCATATTTTTGTACAATCTATATCAAAATTACCTCAAAATCAAACACTAATTTCAAGGGATATTCTCAGTATGTTCAACATATATAGCTATGTTAGAATGCTAACGTGATTCAGTTGCCTGATTTGATCATGAATAGAATATTTTCCAGGCAATTTTATTTCAGGAGCCAATTGATCATAATTAGAAAAGGACCATGAATGACTGCTTATGCTAAGATTGGACAAAATAATTCTTAATGTTATTAACATCTGAAAGGAATAAAATGCAGATAAGAAAAGGACAAATAAAGCCATGCTACTTATCATTTAAGCATTAGGGTTTTTCTCCGTAAGTGAGTCTAAAATTAAGAGGTATTAACATACCATCAATCAGTGAACACATCAGAAGATAAAAGTGGATTTACTAATCTCATTAACTCAACAAAATGCTATGGTACATGTACAATAAACTATATTTCTGTTAATAAATTAATGCTTTTCTTCCAGTCAGATAATCAATAAAAATACAAATTAATTCAACAGCCAATGTTCTACATAGCTTCTCATTACACATTGCACTACTTTATTGGTATCCACAAACACAATTTAAGAGGACTTTGAGAATTTTGAAGTGGCAGCATATTTCTGAAGGCCACTGTAGTTGTTCCCTAATGTCCTGTTGACTGATTAGAGCTCAATGAAACCACAAGAAGTCTCTTATCTATCTCTTTCTCAAAAAATAAAATAAAAAAAAAAATAAATTGTGTGGAGTAGTTAGTGCCATGGTAATCCTCTAAGAAAACAAATCAGAATAAGAAATTATCTCAAATTTTGAGGTGTCTATTCTTAAAAGAAAAAAACAAAGAAACACAATCTCTAAAGTCTTTTGATGTATCTTAGAGATATATTTTGAAACAACCACCTTTAAAAACAACAAAAAACTAATAACAAATTTTTTTTACATAAGACTATAATTTATTATTAATCACATATCTTGTTCTTTCCTTGCTGTAAGCTAATTCTGCATCTTATTTTGCTCATTATATATCACCAGATATATTGTCAAAAATCATATTGAGTGGAAGAGGAATTTTAAAGACTTTTACTACATTTAAAGGAACAATGAGTTGGTTCCCAACTTAAAATATAACACCTCCTCTCTGCCACTCCTTTGTCCTCACATTGTTCCCCTGCTGCAGCGTAGGGCCCCTCCCATGAAAGAAAGTCCTTCATTAACTTCTCCAACGTACATCCTTCTCATGCGGCACAGTCCTTGAGGAACAGACTGCTACAGAGTGGATCCCTCATGGGCTGCAACTCCTGCCAGAAAACCTAGTCCTGCATGGGCTCCTCTCCTCGGGCTGCAGCTCCTGCCAGGAGCTTGTTCCTGTATGATCTCTCCATGGGCTGCATCTTCCTTCAGAGCATGTCTACCTGCTACAGCATGGGGTCTTCATGGGCTGCGGTGCAGCTATCCCCTTCACCATGGACCTCCATGGGCTGCAGGGGGACAAC